GAAGGGAAATAGATATGAGAAAAGGAGGGAGTAGGACAGACAGAAAAAAGAAAGAGAGAGAGACATAGAGAGGAGAGGAGAAAGAAAAAAAGAAAAGAAAAAAAAGAGAAAAACGACCCCTCCCTCCCTTCCCCCCAAATAAATTATACCCCCCCCCCGCCAAAAAAAAAAAAAAAACGTAAGACCTTCGCGAACCTTTTCTGTGTCTAATTTTGCTTCCTCTCCTCCTTGCCTCTTCGTCTCCTCTCTTCGCTTTCTTTGCTCCTCACCTCCTTGCCTTCTATGTTGCTTCCCTTACCTCTTTGTCTCCTCTCCCCGCTTCCTTACCCCCTCCTCCTCCTTCCTCCTTTCTTATTCTCTCGCCTTCTCACCTCCATTTCCCCTCCTCGCTTTCATTTCTCCTCCTTACCTTCTTTCCTCCATTTCTCCTCCACTCCTCCCCTCGCCTCTTCATACCTCCTTACCCCCATTTCCCTCCTCTCCTCACCCCCCCTCCCCACTCCACCTCCTCCCCTCCCCTCACCCCCCTCCTCCCATCCCCCCACCCCCCCCAATCCATCCCCTCCCCTCCCCCCTCCCTCCCCTCACCCCCCAATCCACATTATCCCCCGCCTCCCCCCAAATGATCCTCACTTCATCCCGGGACATTAATACCTCAATCGCACCCCCCCCCTTCCGCTTCATCCCCTTCGCCGCTGCTTCAAAGACGTTCGCGGCGTCTTTGGAAGGAGCCGGTTGAGGCGAGGATGAGGCTGGTGAGACGGGGCGTGGCGGCGAAGAGGAGAGGGGAGGGTGAGAGGAGGGTGAAGGTGAGGAGAGGAGGTTGAGGGAGGTGAAGAGGAGGTGGAGGGTGAGGAGGAGGAGGGGTGGGGGGTGAGGGGAAGGTCGTAGGGGGATGGGGAGAAGGAGGAGGAGGAGGTGGTGGGGTGAAGAGGAGGTGGATGGGTGGGGGGATGGAGGGGGTGGGGGATGGGGGAGGGGAGGGTGAGGGGGTGAAGGGGGAGGTGGAAGGGTGAGGGATGGGTGAAGGGAGTTAGAAGGGTGAGGGGGATGGGGAAGTTGGAGGGGTGGAAGGGTGGGGGATGGGTGGTAGGAGGGGGGGAGGGGAAGTCGTAGGTGGAAGGGTGGGTGAGGGGAAGGTGGTAGGAGGTGGTGGGGTGAGGGTAGGGGATGGGGAATGGAGGATGAGGATGAGGGGAAGGAGGTGGAAGTGGGGGTGAGGGCTGGGGGGGGGGAGGAGGAGGTGGAAGGGTGGGGGGATGGGTGGGGTATGGGGGTGGGGGGAATTTTTGCGATGGCTGTAATTGCTTATCGTTGGAGCTGATGTTTCTGTTGGGATGTGTGTGTCTGTATACATGAAATTCATATATGTGTAAATGAATATATATATGATATATATATATATATATATATATATATATATATATATATATATATATATATATATATATATATATATATATATATAATATATATGTATGTATGTTTGTGTGTGTGAATATAATATATATATATATATATAGATATAGATATGTATGTGTTACATATATACATAATTATATTACACACACACACACACAAATATATATATATATATATATATATATATATATATATAATATATATATATGTATGTGTGTGTGAATATATATATATATATATATATATATATATATATATAGATAGATAGATATAGATATGTATGTTATATATATACATTATAATTATATATATATACATAAATATATATATATATATATATACATATATATATGGTGTGTGTGTGTATGCAAATACATATATGTATAAATATATAATGATATCAGCATCTCTATTACCACTGCCATTACTATCAATTTTTCACTTATCCCTTCCCCAAGACCGCGTACGTAACATAACACTTTCCTCTTCTTTTCGTCATTAGCTACAATGTTAAGCGTCCTTCAGGTGCGGTCTTATTCCCGCTGACTGCTGACTCCATCCCGCGTCATTCGTATGAGACAAGCGAGAACCCCATGCGATATTCACTCCTCGGATCTTAACCTATAAATAGAAGCCTTTTTTTTTTTCTTTTTCATGACCTGGCTTTTAGCTTACCCATGGGCCTACTCTTTTTTGCAGTAAAAAGAACAATAAAATATATATACACACCATATATATATAAAATGGTGCGGATGTCTGTGTGTTTTTTTCTTTATTTACTTTTTCAATGTGCCTTTTTTTCTTTTTTTTTCTTTTTTTTTAGCTTTGGCTCTAAGATGCTGTAAAAAAGGAATTTATCAGGGTTAGAAATAAGATTAAGGCGAGAAATGTAATAAAGGTGTGGATAAGGTATGATTATTATTATCAATATTACCATTATTGTTATTACTATTATTATTATTATTATTATTATTATTATTATTATTATTATTATTATTATCATTATCATTATTATCATAATGATGATGATGATAATGATGATGATAATGATGACGACAGTAATATGATAATAAGATACGATAATAATAACTATTATGATGATAATTATAATTATTATTATCATCATTATTATTATTATTTGACCATTTCGATCATATATCTTCGTCAGAATTATATTTCTACTCGTATTTCTGACGAAGACATGATCGAAATACAATCGGTCAAATAGATCTCTTGTATTTTGAAGATATACATTCTTTTTCATACTTTTCTTAGAAGAAGAATTTGCGAAGATTAAAGATAGGAAAATATGAGTATAAGGAAAGTCTTGGGAGTTAGGAAGTTATCAGGAATCACACTTAAAGAGAAAGCGGAAAAGTAAGGGAAATATAAGGAGATTTAAGGATGGGGAAAGTATATGGACATACGAGAGGATAACAGAAATAGGGAAGATATAAAGAGAAGAGAGAACTGTGTATAAGGAAAGTATAAGGAATATCAGAAGATTTAAGAAGATATGAAGGCACAAGGAAAAGGGAAAGTATAAGGTATAAGGGAAGATATTAAAGATAAGAAGACGGATAGAAGTGAGAGCAGAGAACATTTTGGTATTAAAGAAAAATAATAACATATTGAGAAGGGCCCAGATGTCTCAGATTATGATTGCAGTTATATATCAATTTAATCCAGTGACTATAACTGGGAAAGGCCGAGTAACAATAAATAGGTGTTAGGAAAATCAGATAACAATAACAGCAGTAATGATTAAAGTGATGATAATAATGATGATGATAAAGATAAAAATAGTAATAATGATAACAGTGACGGTAGTAATAATGGTAATGAAGATAATAATGATAATGATAATAACACTAATACTCACAGTAATTTTAATAATGATAACGTAATAACAACGATGATAATAACAACGAAAACAGCATCAACAACAACAACAACAACAAAAACAATAACAAAAATCAACAACAATAATAACAAAAAAAAAATTAAGATACAAAACCACACTTACCTTTAAAATGACACATCTAAGCTATGGCACTTAGCCAAGCCTAGCATAATAATGATAAAAGTTTCCTCAAATGGCTGAGAGAGTGCCATGCAGTGCCAACCAGATGCCGAGACAAAGGAGGCACTGGGGCAGAAATCTGGAATTGGAATTGTGCAGGAACTGGAATATGGAGGAGTGAGAATTATGGAACAGAAATGTGTGGTGTTATTATTGTTATTTATTTGTAGTGTTATTATTATCATCATTATTATTATTATTATTATTAATTATTAATCATCATCATTATTATCATTATTATTAATAACATTATTATTACTATTATCATTATGATCATTATAATTGTTTATATATTGTTTATTATCAATATTGTTATTATCATTATTGTTATTCTTATTATCATCATTATTACTATTATCACATCATCATTATCATAGTACTGTTAGCATCATCATTATTACTATTATTTTTTCTATCATCAACATCGATATTTCATTATTATAATCATTATCTTTGTTATTATTATTATCATTATGTTATTATTGTTATTGTTATTATCATCATCATAATCATCACTATCGCTATTAGCACTGCTGTTATTGTCATTTCTTTATTACAATTATTAATACCATTATTAATATCACCGTCTTTATTTTTATCATCTTTATCATTATAATCATTACTGCTGTAGGGATCATTATCATAACTGTTATAATAATCATTATCGTAACCAATGTTATTAAGAGTACTATTGCGAATATTACCAATACTATTTATGTTATAACTATTATCCTTGTTTTAATTATTTGCATTATCATAAATATTATTAATATCAACATTGTTACCGCTGTTATTGGTACCATCATTTCAACTTCGATCTTTATTACAGCTATGATCTTTATTACAACTAAATCCTCATTTATCTTTACGCTTATTATCTTTATTACAACTACAATCATCATTATCATTACGCCTATCTTTATTACAACAACTACAATCATCCTATCATTATCACTACGCCTATCATTTTTATTACAACTACAATCATCATTATCATTACGCCTATCATCTTTATTACAACTACAATCATCATTATCATTATTACCATAGACCAGGGTTTTCCCAACTTCACACTCGCTGGGGGGGGGGGGGGTGAGATAGCATTCTAATTGGTGCGAGAATTGTCCATCTTGAAGACTAGCAATTAATCTATTTATTACTCATAATCAAGAAACTGGATGAAAAGAGCCATTGAATTGAAAATCCATTTACATAAATGTTTTAAAGTTAGGTTTTTGATTTTTACATATAGATATTACAGGCTAGTGATGATTTTTCGTATGGTTTCTTCAAATAATCTGAGACATGTTTTCTTATCCATGTTTGATTTTTGTTAACATATTATTAAAAAAATGAAAAAGAATATTTTTTTTCCTTAATCAAATTTAGTATAAATTCAACCTTAACCAATCCTTAAATAAGCTATAAATGTGACTATTCCCGTCATAACAACCATTCCAGCTTTACGAAAACTACCCTTGAACTACCATTACAGGAAAACCGCTTGGCTGAGATGAGCAAAATTCCGACGAACCTCCCCCGTGACTGTTCTGACGTGCACTGGTATAATCCGAGTTCGCCAAGCGGTGTCTATGAGGTGTTCCCGACCCTGGATGTCAAGGTGTGAATTTATTTTTGTTATTTTTATCCTTATTTGTAGTAGTGGTAGTAATAGTAGTAGTCATAGTAGTAGTAGTAGTAGTAGCAGTAATTGTAGTAGTGATAGTAATAACATTAGTTGTTGTTATGGTAGTAATGTTATTTTCATTATCATATTATTATTATTATTGTTGTTGTTATTATTATTATCATTATCATTATTAGTATTACCATTATTGTTATTAGTTTTATTATCATTATTGGTATTATCAGTAATAACAGAAGTAGTAGTAGTAGGAGTAATAATATTGTTATTATTGATAGTATTATTATCATTGTCATTAATATTACTGTTGTTATCATTAGCATTATCGCCATTCTTATTATTATCATTACCATTATTAGCATTAATATTAACATTGCTATTATCAGTA